CCGAAGGTCGAAGGGAACGTGGTCGTGGAGTCCTAGATCTTGGTCGGCGTGTTGGGGATGATGGAACTGGTAGTGGATGAGGAGGAGCAATGGCCGGGGCTTGAACAATGCGAAGGTCCGGAACGTCAGGTTCGGTAGGTCTGGCTTTCGGTGCGGGTGGAGGTGTGGCTGTCAGTGGTGGCACGGGCGTAGGTGGTGGTATGTGTGGAATAGGGTTCGGTGGAGGTCCATCTTGTTGGAGAAGTAGCTGACGTTGTTCTTGGGCCCGTTGAGTATCCATGATCACCTGTTGCTGAGCTTGAATAAGTCGAACCGATTCCGCAAGTTGTTGTGTAGTGGAACCCAATGCAACCAGTTCGGGTGGCACGGATGACGTCGGTGCTGCCGTGGGTGCTGGTGGTGTAGTCGAAGAAGGGGCTTTTGAAGCTGGCCTGCGCGGTCGATCCATTCTTTTGTCAGAGCGAGGTCTGGGAGCTGCCTTAACTGCAGGAGGCCGTGGAGGATGTTCATCAGGAGAAACCATCAATGCGTTCGTTTGTAATGGAGGTTGAATGTGATGGGGTGGGTAAGGGGAACTTGGCAAAGGTGTCGGTGGCATAGTCGATGTAGGTGGTGGAGTCGACGTAGGAGATGAAGTCGGTGGAGAAGGCCAGGCAGGTGGAGCGGTGGGTGCCGAAGGAGATGGGAAAGTCGAAGGAGCGGTGTGCGCCATTGTGGGTTCGGAGGTCAAAGGTGCAGGCATGGTGGGTACGAGCTGTGGGCCTGGTACTGCATGAGGAGCCGGAGACAATGAGGTAAACGGCAACGATGTTGGGGATGATGTAGACGGCATGATCGAAGCTGAAGAAGACCATGTAGGATGCAAGGCTGAAGGATGTCCAAATAGATGTACGTTCTGTGATGATTGCGGCCACGTCGGAGGTGCGTTCGTAGGCTGCGGTGGAACAGGCCAGGACGTTGGCGGAGGGTTCCACGGATGCATCGCTTCAGTAGATGAAAACAAAAGTGAACAATCACATACAGGATTCAGTCCCTAACTGCCTAAGATGTCGTGCAATTATTCCCTGCACCGGGACCGTGGTCAAGTCGTGCCACGAAGGCATAAAACAGCTTCCAAATTCCAACGAATTAGATGCACAAAATGTTTCACCTCACCAAAAACCAAAGAGACCACACCTGCAGGAAAAGGACATGCCTGTTGCCTTTTGTCGTGAATGTCATGTTGAACTTCAAATGCGCAAGCTGCAGAGAAAAAAGGTTTCTGGTAGTTCGAAGTGGCTTCACTCAATAGAGATGCATTCACTGGGTTCATAAAGGACAGCCGGAAGCGCGGGACATCACAAAAGGTGCAAAACGGAAAGGCCAGCTGTTGCACATTACGTAAACGAATTACCAAATTAAAATGTGTGAATTCAGAGTTCAAGACTGTCAACACTCACCCTGAAAAGGGTTGCCTCAAGTGGCTCCATGGCACCATGTCGGAGCCACCATGGAAATCACACTAGACAAGAATGGATCATTATATGATCCGGCAGGAACTGAATCCTGAAACATGCAAACCAGCCTAGATCGTTAGATTAGTAAAGGAGCCACATGAGGTACTTCTCGAAAACGATGTAGGGCATCCAATGTTGTCAAACGAAGTCAAAACCAGAATCCATAGAGTTTTAACCAGCATGTTGAGAATCCACAATAATGTTTCGGCGATTGTTTCCCAAAATAACCCAAAGTTCGTCGGCGACATGATCTCGGCGAAAATATGTCAAAAAATCATAATACTGTCGGCGATATGGTTTCGGCGAAAATCTGAGGAAGGTTCTGATGCATGCAATACAGATTGTGGCAACCGTGTAGATTCGAAACAACGCAGTGTAACAGCTTGATCAACAGTTGAAACCAAATTTTGCAGGTACACAGAGTTGATCAGACTCTGCTTCCAGCACAAGTGGATAGCTTCGTTGGGTGCAGTCTCCACTGTGCTCTGCACCCCCCTGCAAATTAGTGAAAACCAATCAGAAGTTTTACATCTGTTCAGATGGTACACACACACACAGCAAGCTTTTTAAACAGAGAAGCTTTACACACAGAGAAGCTTTTACACACAACAAGCTTTTACACAGAGAAGCTTTTACACACAGCAAGCTTTCACACACAGCAAGCGTTTACACACAGAACACTCACACAGCGCTTTTACACATGGCAAGCGCTTACACACACACAGCAAGCTTTTTAAACAGAGAAGCTTTTACACACAGAGAAGCTTTTACACACAACAAGCTTTTACACAGAGAAGCTTTTACACACAGCAAGCTTTCACACGCAGCAAGCGTTTACACACAGAACACTTACACACAGTGCTTTTACACATGGCAAGCGTTGACACACAGAACACTTACAAACAGTGCTTTTACACATGGCATGCGTTGACACACAGAAACTTTTGCACAAAGACACTTTTATACACAGAGAAGCTTTTACACTCACAGCAAGCTTTTACACGCAAAATCTTGTACACACAGCAAGCTTTCACACACAGCAAGCGTTTACACAGAGAAGCTTTTACACACAGCAAGCTTTCACACACAGCAAGTGTTTACACAGCAAGCTTTTTCAACAGAGAAGCTTTTACACACAGAGAAGCTTTTACACACAACACGCTTTTACACAGAGAAGCTTTTACACACAGCAAGCTTTCACACACAGCAAGTGTTTACACACAGAACACTCACACAGCGCTTTTACACATGGCAAGCGCTTACACACACACAGCAAGCTTTTTAAACAGAGAAGCTTTTACACACAGAGAAGCTTTTACACACAACAAGCTTTTACACAGAGAAGCTTTTACACACAGCAAGCTTTCACACACAGCAAGCGTTTACACACAGGACACTTACACACAGTGGTTTTACACATGGCAACCGTTTACACACACAGTAACTTTTACACTGAGACGCTTTTACAAACAGAGAAGCTTTTACACAAAATCTTTTACACACAGCAAGCGTTTATCACAACAGGGATTGCAGCTCCAAAACCGGATCTCGACGCCAAAGCAGAAAAAAGAGGATTTTGAAGCGCTTTTTAAAAGGATTTTTAAAAGGAAAATTACTAGCGCCAAAATTGCGAATATCTGCTGACAAATCACTATCGCAGCCTGGATGCAGTCACTCCAATACGATTTACGATGTTCAGCTGCAAAAGACAATAGTATTACGCATGCAGCCGCGGCACCGATCCCCTTCATCACCACTTCCCATCGTCACCACTTCTCTTCGTCACCACTTCCCATCGTCACCACTTCCCTTCCTCACCACTTCCCTTCGTCACCACTTCCCGCCATCACCACTTCCCTTCCTCACCACCTCCCTCTCCCTTCCTCACCACTCCCCTTCATCACCACTTCCCTTCGTCACCACTTCCCTTCCTCACCACTTCCCATCGTCACCACCTCCCTTCCTCACCACTCCCCTTCATCACCACTTCCCATCGTCACCACCTCCCTTCCTCACCACTCCCCTTCATCACCACTTCCCTTCGTCACCACTTCCCTTCCTCACCACTTCCCATCGTCACCACCTCCCTTCCTCACCACTCCCCTTCATCACCACTTCCCTTCGTCACCACTTCCCTTCCTCACCACTTCCCATCGTAACCACATCCCTTCCTCACCACCCTGTGTCATAGCTTCTTATTCTTTTGTTGTGTATTGTTAGATTATGTATTGTTCTGTGATCTACCATCCTTCATCATAGTCAATTGCATCAAGTAAAAGTCATTCGTAACTCGGAAGCATTGCTTCCCAACTTCCTTTGATTAACTATGATGCCTATAAGACGCTGCACTGCCAATCCATAGCATGACCGAAGAATCACATCTCAATATACATCTACTTCTGCAGCAGCATCATCATCTCCAACATTTCCTCGCTCTTTCTCGCTCTTTCTCTCTCTCTCTCTGCCCATAGTCATTCAATTTCTTTTAAAAGTGCACATCCATTTGATCTGAATTTACATGCAAGTCAATTTGGCATCATTCCTGTATGGCAGGGGATGGCAAGGGTATTATATGTAGCCGCCTATATCTACGCGCGGCAAACTGTGCGCGCGCATAAATTTCACGAGTAGACATCTATGTCAGGATATATCAGCGTATCAGGATTATGATTCATTCCAGTTCATTCTAATATAATCCCTTTTTCATGTTTTTTTAAAACTCCACCAAATAAAAAAAAAGGATTTGTGTGGCACTTCCGTTTTTTTTTGGTTGGGCACAATTGGATTCTTAATTGTGGTAATTAAGAATCAATAGGAGAACAGGATGGTGAAACAATGGGTTCAACCCCCTATTAATAAAAATAGATTGTCACCTGGATGTTTTTTATTAGGGTCCCATCTCACAAGTTTTATTTTTTGTTTTATTATTAAGGTTTTCATTGGAATATTAGGGGAAAGCATCGAAATCCAGTTTTTGGCAATATTTTGTATAGATTTTAATAAGGGATTCTATCAAATTTGAATTCGAGTTTTATTTGTACTACTGTATATTTTATTATTAGGGTTTTTCATTGGAATATTAGGGGAAAGCATCGAAATCCAGTTGTTGGCAATATTTTATGCTGAGGAATTTAATCAATTTTGAAATCAAGTTTGTTTATTTTTATTGCTAAGGTTTTTCATTGGAATATTAGGGGAAAGCTTCGAAATCCAGTTTTTGGCAATATGTTATGCAGATTTTAATGAGGAATTTAATCAAATTTGAAATCGTTTTTTGATTATTATTAGGTTTCTCATTGGAATATTAGGGGCATCCTAATACCAAATACCATGTAATAATAAAAATAGATCACCGTGTTTACCATTTGGAGGGTGTTTACTAATAGGGAGAGAGGATGAGAGGATTATTCTAATATGTCTACATATGTCTACATGTGCTATCCTCACAATTGTTCCAATTGCATTTCTTCTCGTCTCAATATTTCGACAGTTTAATCAAGGATCGGATCTTTAGAGATTTCAGCCGCATCTGCAAGAAGAGGCATGCCGGCAGCCAGCACCCGGGGACGGGCATGTTTCAGCACGAGGCGGCCTCTGAATTTTCTGGGTGTGTGGATGGCTGATCGGCTGATCTTGGACGATGTTGGTATATCGGTGTATCTTGTTCATGTTTGGCTTCCCAAGGGCGAATGGCAACATGGTAGCTGTAAGGTTCCGACATAGGCTTTGGCTTGAAATGATGAGCCCGTCCTGCAGGTGGTACGGGCGTCAATTCATGTGCCAGACTATGTTCAAGAAAAGGACCTGAAAGGACTATAATACGCCAGAGCCACATGAATGCGTGGTGCTCTTCAATCTTAATTATTCTAGCCACATAAATGTCGGTCCACTCCACATCACTCCACAAAACATCACAGATCCCTTCTCTTGCAGAGGTGCGGGTGTCGATGATTGTAGGTTCAGGCCAACACTACACAAGTCAGCCTGGCATCAGAGCAGCATCTGCAGGCGAGATTCTTTCAGATTTGGATCATTGCGAACCAGTTCCAGTGGGAAACGCTGAACACCAAGTTTGGAAGCCTGTCTGCAGCCAGGAGGGGCAGAAGATCGAAGCATGTTGCTGCAGCATTTGAAGCAAGGCATCCCAACATCCTTAGAATGTCCCACGCCTCTTCCTCATCTGAAAGTAGGCCAAACCATTCCACCAACCACTGGAGCTGAGCACCGTTAGGTGCAGCCAATAAGGATGGAATGGGATTTGTGCCTTTCGTTCCTTTCCCATCTTTGACCTCTTTGACTCTCTTCATCCCGGTTGCTTTGCTACCTTCTGTGCTGTCCAGTAACCTAGGCGGTAAGGTTGCAGGTCCTGGGGCCACCTTCTCGAAAAGTGCGCAGAAAAAGCCACCGAAGTCACCGTGAGTGGGACTGATGCGGATGCAATGGCTCAATGCCGCCCGTGCCTGCCAGAGCATTGCCATAGCTCTGCATGCTCTGCGGGTCGCGACAAATTATCGTTTCATGCTCAGGCCTCTAAAGATCTGAAAGAAGATACATCTTCGAAAGTGCCGTTTTTGATCGTTTTTGGTATGGAACTGGGATTTGACAACTTCTACCCATGTTGCACTGACTGATGGCAAATGCTGGTGCCTATTATGTGCCCATGGAGTATCCCATCCTGACCCCCACTTCCCTCCACCCTGGAGTACCCTCCATGTTCGCCTCCGGATTGCAAGGGGGAAACATGGTGGGTGCCAAAGGACCACCATTGCGACACCAAAGGCTCTCTGAGTGCTCTGACACCTCTTCCCGCGTCCCAAAGCTCAGATGAGGCTCTGAGGCAAAGTCAGGCACTGGGACTCGCCATGTGGAAAGCCCCTTGGCGTGACTCCACTCTTCCACTGGTACCAAACGAACCTGATCTGGCCCAAACCTCAGTCCAAGAGTTATATTGGAATTGGCCAGCTGAAATTCGTGCACCCCGCGGGAGTACAGTATCCGTACTGGCAAGATGATGCAAGATGAATGATCATGGCACCATGGCACTATGGATGATCATGGCATATATCATGGTAAAGGTAAGTATCAGTCTATCAGCATGAACATATTCATATATGGCAGTGTGTCAAAACCAATAGTACCCCTTCTGTTCACATCAAAATAGCTGGGTTAAAATGGATGTTCATCCCCCTAAAAATGGTATTTTCATAGGTATTGATCCATAGCCATATCATGTGTGCCCAAGTTACTTCTCCATTGCTGCTGCCACCACGGCTTCGTTCTCGATTGGCGACATGCTGCAAGTGGAGTACAACAAGAGCCCCGAAGGTTTCAAGATTGTGAGGCCACGCTTCAATATGGCACTTTGCACCTCAGCTGAAATGTATTGAAATGTGACAAAGAAAGAAACATGATGAAACTGGCTGCTCACAGTTTCCATCAGTTCCCCATTCTTTGATATTCTTTGATATTCTTTACCCGACAGGAAGCATAGTGCATTTGCAGCATGTAGCGTGGATGCCACGATGCCCATCCACTCGGGCTGCGCCGCAAACGTCCATCGCCTGCGATCAAGCTGGCCGTTCAGAAATATTGTAAATGTAAATTCATGTAAATTCATGTACATTCGGTATAGAAAGTAAAGCGGCAACATGCAGGGTGTGCCATCCCGCAGAGCCTGAGCAAGGAACATCACAAAGAACACGGTCAAAGCGTATCTTTCGAGCTCCCCGCACTCGGCCGTCAGAATGATCATGTAGCGTGGGGAACTGGGCAAACAGCGGAGAAAAAGGCAACATGCAATCAGATCCGACATCGGCGCAAGATGGAAAACGACAACATGAATTCTCATCATATTATGTTTCTCAAGGATCATGAATTCATGAAGTGGCAGAATGCCTAGATTGTACTGTGTTTTGCTAGCAATTATCATCAATTAGCGCAAGACAGGCTGCTTCCCGTGCGTCTCCACACAACCACATCAGCGGAGAGGGGTTTGCATGTTGGTGGGTGCGGCGCAAGGCGGTCGCGCATCGACTCCAACTGTCATCATTCACCACCAACAGACCGGGGGAGACATCACCTGAATGGGGTAGCTCTGCAGATCGGAACGGCAAAGGCATGCAAGAAAGACTTAAAGCATGCCTGGAGACATCTTCAGAATTCTTCAGATATATTATAGGTCATACATAAAAACAATTAAAAACATCGTAGATCTTCAAAACATTTCATACATAAATCATGCAAATCCCGCGGAATCCTATCAGACCTATCATGTGACTTCTGTGTTCTTCTCAGTCAATCACCGCTGCCAGATGCTGCCAGGCCTGGAGATCCCGCCATCAAGTCCAGCAACTGCAAGGTTTTTGAGGCTGGTGCCGCACAAAGGTCTGCGACAAAGTGGTGGGGCTCAACCTGACAAGATCTCAAGCACTTTTTTTTGTTGAAAAAGATTGGAACCCCCCCACACAATCCTCAAACTATATATATATAATTATAATATATATATATATATAACATTATATAACACACCTCCCAAACAAATCCAAATGATCTATGTCAATCTTTGTGCTACAGCACTTGCAGCCACAGCTTCAATTGAAGTAAACGAGTCAAAAATAGTCAAAACATTTCAAAACGTTGCACTTTGATGCACTTTGACAATGCCAGCCTGCAGGAGCATCACTGGTACCATACTGGCTGCTTCTTGTCGCTGGATTGCACCACAATCCTGGGCGGCCTGCAGGAGATTCCAGCTCTCGTCTGACGTTAGTGCCCAGCAGTTGCACGCTGCTCCATCAAAGGCAAGCCCTTGAGGTCTTCTTAGGGTGGCTTCTGCATTCAAGTTCTTCATTGCCAGTTCCCAAAGTGGAGAAGTAGGCACAGTGCGGAAGCAGTAGGGCACAGCTGTTTGCATCAATGAACTGATTTGTTGAAAGTCATCAAGGTCTTGGTAGTACAACTCCCAAGCTTTGCATCTACCTTGCCCTTTCCCCAATGGCTCCAGCTCCTTCACGTCGCATCTGTCCTGAAGTTCTGCCATTCCTTGCCGCACACTGCGCACACCTTCGGATTTTTCCTCGTTTCCATAATGGGCCAAGCTTTGCACGTGGCGCATCAGCTGATTTCTGGAGGAGAACTCTTGGCCACACTGCGCACATGTGCGATTTTCCAGAGGGGCCTGGGAAAGCTGATCTTGATTTCTGCACACATGTAGGCTCAAAGAACTTCCTCGGTCACATCCAGAAGTTTGCCAGGCCTGCACTGTTCACCCATGGAATTCTCATGAATTCTCTGTTGCATCATGTTGCATCCTGATTACATCCCATTCAACGTGACATGCGGGCTTTTGAGGACACATTTCCGTTTGTCTCCTTGCCTTCGCAAATGCAGCATCGTCAGAGATATGAGTCTCCCCAGTCTTGTGGCGCCATACCAGTCTGATGCTGAGTGCACCTAGGGCTTCATGGTAGGGAGGTTCCATCTTACTTGACCAGAGTCAGGCATTTTGATGCATTTTGCCAGTCACTTTTTTCTCGTCCTTTATGCCAGAGGTCTGAGCATGATAGAAAGCTAGGCAAACCAAACTTCATGAACAAAGTCCGAGGTACTTGACAAATTGCTGCGATCCTGAAATGCAACCGCCACTTGCGCTTGCAGCTCTTTCAAAACTGGAGCTGAACAAAGCAGCAGCAAAGGCTCTGAACCATCACATGAGACATAGATCGTAGCTGCCTGCACAGGACTCTTTGATTTCCATCTCCATATGTTTCTCTCACCTTTTCTGTGTCCATCCTGCCTTACCATAGCCACCATCCGTCTGCATAGCGTTGTGTCCAGCGCAGATTTGCTACCATTGCCGCAGGCGGTGCTCAGCTCAAAACCACATAATGCTGATAGTTTCTTTGAATGAGCTGTACAAACGAAAGTCAGCAAGATCGCGTGCATGCGTCATGTAGCCTGAATACACCCTGAGACACTCAAACAGCACGTATCTGCCACGAGATAAAAAGGAGTATGAGTATGAGTAAGGTAAATATCTCATGGGCTGAAACTGCAGGACTGCTATACAATTGCGACTATAATGGTAAAGAAGCACGAGTCTGGTTGACATCCACGATGCAGGCAGAGCAAGTACCAAGGATGTGACAGAAACATGCGCAGAAAACAGCAAAGCAAACCACCTGCACCGCCATCCTCCGTTCGCTGCCGCTTGCTGTCAGGCTCCTGCAGAGTTGCAGGATGCCAGTTTGGCAGATTCCCTTTTGCACAATTTTCCGGGGTGTGTTCAAATGACCAGGCCTGCATGGGCTTTGTTTCTTTCACCTCCTCAAAGGAGTCCTTACTCTTAAGCTTCACGAAGGTGGGAATCCTCTTCTTGGCCTGGCAGCTGGAATTAACCGGACATGCTGAGACGTGATGCGACATGTCATTGTACCACATTCAACCTCTGCCAAGGAACCTGTGGACCAGCTTCTGGTCCCACAACAGGTGCCTGGCTAAGGAGGTCATATGAGTCATATTGTCATAAGTCAATCGAAGTCATAAGTCATAAGCATTCAAACTGAAGGTGTTCAAATAAGGCTCCCAGGATTTGTGTTGCAAGGAGGCCGGTGTCGCAGTCAAAGGCACCTTCTCTACCCTGGTCAACGACTTTTCAATCCTAAGACTCTGTACGTCCGGACCACTGGATCTCCCGGATAAGCGGAATGATTTCTGTTGATTTGGGCACCCCCACTTGTGTTCGGAAGTTGCCTTGCGGAACTCATTTACCTCCTTAAGTCAGCTGGCCCCTTCAAGCATCAAGCGCTCAAGTAGCGGCAATTGATCACATTTGCGATTCTCGTCCTCATGTCTCTGGGCTTTCTCGAGCAGTCTTTCTCTTTCTTTCTGTGCCTCAGCGGTCTTCCCGGGTTGTCTTTAGACGAGCGGCAGCGGACTGTTAAGGTCAGGACCTGATAGTGCAGGTCGGCTCCAGCCACACCAGGCCCCATGTAGGCTCCTGCGGGCCAAAATGCCTTTCCAAGTTGCACACAGATGTAGAGGCCATCACCCAAAGAAAAACTGTATGGATATATATGTGTATAATATATATATATATATAAAATACAAACAAGATTGTAAATGTTGGCTAGCCCGTGCCAGCTCTCTAATTTATTCAACTCCGATTGGACTTTGCCCCACACCAACAAGAATTGTTCGATGGTCCTCCATCAAAAGAGCGCACATCCTTTCCAAGCAGACCTGAGACTGACGACTTCAAAATACTCCGACTCTTACCAGCCGCATCTTTGTTGGTAGATAGACCTGCAATCTGGTTCTGACCCACCCTCTGTATCCTGCTGTTCATTAGATGCCAACTGAGGCCGGCACGGTCCATAAACAGATTCTGATTCTTTGAACCTGGCGGTCATTGGCAGTTGCAAAGCTACCGCAGAACTTGTACGTATCATCTGACTTTAAAGAGAAGGTAAATGCTTGTGACTTGCCTGAAGGAGTCCCCATGGCTGCAGTCCAGGCTGAAACCCAGTCCGAAGATCGTGTTTCTAAAGGTTACAGTTCGCTCTGAGGAAATCTGCTCAGCATCTGCCTTTGCAAAGTCAGTTGCTCCCTCTCTCTCTCTCTCTCTATGGGGTGGGTGTCACGATTTGTCCAAATGCAACGCGGATTCCCTTTTGCGACGTAAGAAGCACCGTGACTACTCACCAGAATACGTTCAGCAGGTTTCTTTGCTAAGTTTGCACCTAAAAACAGCTTGTGGTTAAGCATTTGAGCAAAGGTCCTTGCATTCATCCTGACTCAATCAACTCACTGGTAAAAAGGCCCACATGCTGACGGACACAACGTTGCCACCCTGACACAGTCAGCAAGCATCCAAAACGCATCCAGAAAGCGGAGCAATGGCAATGAGCACACCTTTTGCGAAAAGATTGCCTGTACAATGTGGCAAGGACTTGGGTGGTGTTCATGTGCCCTGCTCCCAGAGAAAACGATATGCAGAATCATTATGACACTAGCATGAGTCATGAAAAGCATTGAAAAGCACTATCGCATGTATTGTAAGCAGGTGGCCAGCATTCCAGAGATGCAGTATGATTCAGAGCTAGGTTCCACATTGCGCCCAAGTCCATGTCCTGCGGGCATACCGCACGATGCTGGACTCTGCCCGCTTGAGCACCTAACAGCTAGAGCAGCGAATGGTGCTGAAACTTACCTCGTATGTACACTTGCAAGCAGAGCTCACAAGATCTCACAAGAAACTGACAGTATCTAACACGCTCAATCCACGGATTCCTCCTCCATGAAGCCTTCATACTCCGCATGAATTGGAGGACACCACCCTTTTCCACGATGGCGCTTCTTGTCACCCTTGTATTCCTGGCGCAGGTGCTGTATTTCGCATAAAAATGTATAATAAATTATAATTAATCTGTAAAATTGTGTGCGTGGTTTCCTTCGTATCGTGTTCATGCCAATTAACTCCTGGGACCATGGGCTAAGCATGGCTAAGCATGGCTAAGCTATGTCCAATGCTCCCAAGCCTTGAAGACGCCGTAGTCGCGGTCGTGCGTAAAGGACAAACACACCAGATCAGGAGGCTCACTCTCTCGCTTGTAGCCGCTTGACCGGCTTTGAATGTTGAATTTGGACCACAAGCGCGATCGTCGATATTCAATGTTTCCTTTCGATGCATTCCACATAACCAAAGGTGACTGAGAAGAATTCAAATCAAGGTCAATCAGTCAAATTCTTGACATTTGTGGCACCAACTCCCTGTTTTTACTAGCCTATATAATCTCAAAATATCTCAAAGATGCAAATCGTGCAAATACGCATCAAAAAAGGAACTGTTTGGAAATGATCAGCTAATTTTTCCGAGCATCGGGTCCACACGATGAGATTCAAGCGCTCGCCTTCTGTGATATCATCAGCACCATGGCGTCGGTGACCGCGATGCACAACGCAATGACCAACTCTGTGCTGATATTGAAGGCTTGCCTTGCGATGATCTGTTGCTCCCTGATCACCACAGAATTGAAGCCCTGCGCCCTTGAAGTCCTTCCCCAAGCAAACGTTGAAGGTGACGTCACTATCATCCGTGTGCATGTCTAAACCCAAGTCTTCGCCAACCTTGTAGCGCACCACAAAGGTGTGGTGCCTATCGAAGTGAGATCCAACACCTGGAAAGAGAGTGATCTCATTCAAATGTGCTTGAACCTCTTCAAGCGTTTTCCCTCAGTTTTCCAAGTTTTTTTGAACAATGCAGACTGCAAGGAAAATCAACATCACTCAAGTGATCTTGTTTATCTTGTGATGAACATTTGAATCGGCTTTCAGGAGTCTCACTTTTCCTGAATACAGGTATTGGAGTCGGGTTTCACTTCAGTGCTGCGCGTCATTTGAACCCGCCTGGAAAGAGGTAATGAGCCAGCGGCTGCAGCAAGTTGTGACAAAGCTGGTCCAGAGCTGGTTCCATGCCAATTTCGTTGACCACAATTCCATAGTTGTTCATGCTATTCGGCCTGCGTGCCGGCAACCCAGTGCCATGAAACTTATCCAGTTCCTCCACGAAGGCCTTGCACAGCTCCGGTTTGAACAACGGAACCGAATAAACTTCCGTCGCTTCGGTGGTCACGAGGGCTGCCCACGCTTCCGGCGTGTTCAGGCAATATGCCTTCCAGTACTCAGGATGAATGGTCTCCGTTGAGTAGGCCCTCTTGGGGTCGAAAAGCCAGTCGTGTTCACGTTGGACTTTATATTTCAAAATAACATCCAAACGCTCCTTGTTGGATTCCGCGGCATCATCAGCTGAGTCCGTGTCATCCTCACAGAACTGGCTGGGATTGTTCAACAGAGAAAAAGCTGCCCGGACTGTGCGGCACAAGGGTGACACGTCGGCATCCAAGGTGCCAAGTGCCTCCGCCATGGCCGCTTCATCCATCACTCCATTTTGCTTCACAAAAGGACTGTGGATCCAGCTGTGCACCCTCACCTCAGCGGGAGACTTGGGCCATGCTGTGTTCACTTTCAGCTGCATGCGGAGGTGCGAGCTGTAGGCGGAGGTCGTGGGCCCCTGGACTACCATGGTAATCACCCAGGGGCCGGCATCTTTGGGCACGAACAGCTCAGTACCATCCTGCACTGACAAATACAGCAAGGCGGGTGGAGTTGCTCCCTGAAAAATGGATGGCAACCGGCAACTGTCATGGTCATGCAGTCATGCATGCTCATTCTTGTATGCAATAACTTTAGGGGTCAGCATGCCGTTAACAGCTCCACAGTCCTCCGCAACAGCCATCAGTTCTGGACCGGAGACAGTCAGAACGATTGGATCATCCTGCAGCTTGGCTACCTCCGTCTTCAAAGCCGCCAGCACCTCTGCTGCATCCCTGCCATCCTGCACACCAGGTGATTACAATATCTTTCAATGTGTTTAATTACCTTATTTTACCTTCACTACATTTCACTACCCTGCGCTTTCAAGAATTTTGGCTCCTCTGGCAACGAGAAAGTGCTAGGCATCTCTGCTCGGATGACCTTCGGGATGTCCATTGGTGCAAAGATCAGTGCGCTGCCAAAGGCTGGGTCCAACTCCACCTGTGGCATTTGGACAAGTGGCGAGGAAATTCAGAGACCTGTTCAGGATCTGCCGCTCATCCTCTATTTATCAAGAAGCCTTGTAAATGGAGCAAAAAGTAGCAGAGAGGACCATGGTCCCAGGAACCGAGCTATGTTTGGATCTACAATGATGACAATATTAATTCCTCACAAGTCCAAAACGTGCCACACCTGATATGGCGCTGTCTTCTTGGCTGGCCAGTGGTCCTAGCCAAAGGAGAAAAAAATGAAAAATATATGAAAAATAGAAATGAACCATCCGATATCCTCAATGAAGCGAAAATCCCACTAGCCAACTCTGAAACTGCACTCACAATGACTTCAAACAGGCCAACATGGGTTTGTCTGAAGATGCGGCACTCCAAAAACCCTCCCTTGATCACCATTTTTTCCACTGCAAAGCCATTGTGGGGTGTTCCCTATCCTTGGACCAACCCACATGTGACTAAATTGACTGCCAATTCGCCTCTCGATACTGCAAAGCAACGACTTTTCCACTAGCCCAGCCATCAGAGCCCATGTTGCAAGAAACGCGGTCACCAACGGCAAAGCGTAGATTACTTCCATCCACGGGTGCCATCGCGTCAGGAAGAAATGATGCAAAAGCCTGAGGAAAATGTATATAGCGCCTTTTTGTCCAAAAGGTGCACCTCCTAGAAATCAGAATCAGACCATTGGCCAAATTTTGTCTGGAGGAATACAGCTGCTTGGCACATGTGATGCTGGGCCATATCTCGCCGTGAAGCGCAAATGCATCTGATGGCTGCCAAAAAGTCGAATATGACCGCAGCTCCAAAACGGCTTGAAATTGACTGATTACAGCAGGGTTGAACTTAGCCTGGATGAGAATTTAATGCATCTGTATTTTTTTCACTTTTCGGTCTTTTTGTCTATTGAAATTGAAACGTGTTGAAGACTACCTACACCCTCCAAGATGTACTTGTAAAACATTGAACTTCAAGCTATGCATTAATCACCCACGCAGCTGAATCATTCACTGAACTCCCTGAAGGGTGCAGGTAAATGAATCTATGACGAGTGTACGATACCACGCTCAGCCGCTAGCGGCTCACTCAAGGTTGCCTTCCTCCATCAATGCCACTTGGTTCGAGCGTGATTTGCCCATGGTTCGGAAGACCACCAGCGCTGCTCCAATGACAGTCGCACCCACCGCGCCCAAGAGAGCGGAAGGAAGATGGAATGTGGGACGAGACAATGATCCCATCTCGAACAACCTGGTTGCAGCAGGGGCACCGTTTTCATCTTTCTGGCAAGCGCTGAGTTGGACGGCAGTGTAGGTCTTAGCGGAGGTGTCTGCAGCATCCAGGGTCTGAATGGCAGTCTGGAACTTGCCCAAGTAGTGTTGCATCGTAGGAAGATCCTTGATCTGCTCAGGATTACCGGCCATCTCAACAACTTGAGAGTTTAGTTGGGCCACAGTGTCCTTGGCGTCACCTGCCTCCTTCTCGACATCTGCCTGCACTTTGGCCAAAGAGTCGATATCGGTGCAGAGCTGCGCCCAGGTCTCTTTGAACTGCTTTTGAATGGCAGCCTTCTCATCAGTACTTGCAATTGCCATTTGTCCCGGAAAGTTGGGATTTTCGATACCAGAGGGGTGATCTCTTTGCTCAAAGACACCACCTTGTCTTGCAACTCACCAGCGGTCTTTTGGATCGCAGCTGTCATTTCATCCAACTTGTCTGGAGTGAACTCTGCTGCAGCTGTGAGGCACACTGTTGCAATGAGGCGCCACATACTGAGATGTCGAAGGAGAGCGAAAGGAACGAGCCAAATCTTGAGGCAAAAGGACTGCGGCTTGGCTCAATTTAACGCATCTGTATATCCGCCGACCCCTGCCTTCGCCAAGGCAGGGGCGGCGCCTGGGACCACCGCAGGTGTGGAACTTGTTTTTGTCGGCTTGCCTTCAAACCCCTACAACGATCCGTGGCAGCTTCGACCCGGCACTCCATAGCCAACTGCTGTTACGGCATTCAAGCCTGCCGTTTGCCAGACTTCAAATGCCTAAAATGCTTCGCGGCAGCTTCGACCAGGCACTCTGGCCACAGGCATTTGTTGGTAGAGCGTTCAAGCCTGCCGTTTGCCTCCATAGCCATCTGTTGTTAGGGCGTTCAAGCCTGCCGCTTGCCAGCCTTCAAATGCCTAAAATGCTTCGCGGCAGCTTCGACGGCACTCCGGCCAGAGGCATATGTTGTTAGAGCGTTCAAGCCTGCCGTTTGCCTCCATAGCCATCTGTTGTTAGGGCGTTCAAGCCTGCCGTTTGCCAGGCTTCAAATGCCTAAAATGCTTCGCGGCAGCTTCGACCAGGCACTCTGGCCACAGGCATTTGGTTAGAGCGTTCAAGCCTGCCGTTTGCCTCCATAGCCATCTGTTGTTAGGGCGTTCAAGCCTGCCGTTTGCCAGGCTTCAAATGCCTAAAATGCTTCGCGGCAGCTTCGACCAGGCACTCTGGCCACAGGCATTTGTTGTTAGATCGTTCAAGCCTGCCGTTTGCCTCCATAGCCATCTGTTGTTAGGGCGTTCAAGCCTGCCGTTTGCCAGCCTTCAAATGCCTAAGATGCTTCGCGGCAGCTTCGACCAGGCACTCTGGCCACAGGCATATGTTGTTAGAGCGTTCAAGCCTGCCGTTTGCCTCCATAGCCATTCAAGCCTGTCCTTTGCCGGCCTTCGGATGCCTGGGATGCTTCGGGGCGGCTTCGACCAGGCACTCTGGCCAGAGGCCTTTGTTGTTAGAGCGTTCAAGCCTGCCGTTTGCCTCCATAGCCATCTGTTGTTAGTGCGTTCAAGCCTGCCGTTTGCCAGGCTTCAAATGCCTAAAATGCTTCGCGGCAGCTTCGACCAGGCACTCTGGCCAGAGGCATTTGTGGTTAGAGCGTTCAAGCCTGCCGTTTGCCTCCATAGCCATCTGTTGTTAGGGTGTTCAAGCCTGCCGTTTGCCAGGCTTCAAATGCCTAAAATGCTTCGCGGCAGCTTCGACCAGGCACTCTGGCCACAGACATTTGTGGTTAGAGCGTTCAAGCCTGCCGTTTGCCTCCATAGCCATCTGTTGCTAGGGCGTTCAAGCCTGCCATTTGCCAGCCTTCAAATGCCTAAAATGCTTCGCGGCAGCTTCGACCAGGCACTCTGGCCACAGGCATTTGTTGTTAGAGCGTTCAAGCCTGCCGTTTGCCTCCATAGCCATCTGTTGTTAGGGCGTTCAAGCTTCAAATGCCTAAAATGCTTCGCGGCAGCTTCGACCAGGCACTCTGGCCACAGACATTTGTGGTTAGAGCGTTCAAGCCTGCCGTTTGCCTCCATAGCCATCTGTAGCTAGGGCGTTCAAGCCTGCCGTTTGCCAGGCTTCAAATGCCTAAAATGCTTCGCGGCAGCTTCGACCAGGGCTGTGGCCCGGCAGCTCCCAGGCACTCACTTGCAAAACGCTTGAACGCACTGAACGCCTAGAAACTCTTGTCAAGGGAGGGTCAAGGTATGATTACATCTTCCTTCCTCTTGTCCAACCCCGACAGGAATGGGGGTCGGCGGCACCCGGGCGCTAGCCCATTCTATAAATCAAGATGATGCACACACACACACACTCTTGTACAGAAATGATCACATATGGACGTCATATACAATCATAGTGATTAATTGAGTGGTTGTGCAGCACGGCTCGAGAAATCGAAGCAGCCACTCAGCCACTCAGAGTGGCTGAGTGGCTGATTGGCTGCGGCAGCCACTCTGGCAGAGTGGCTGAGTGGCTGCCCTCTGCCACTCTGGCAGAGTCTCTCAGTGGACGAATAGCTAGTGCAGCTAATCCAGTGGAGTGTAAGCAGCATTACCCAGACCTAATTTTTCTTAGGTCTGAGTCAATGTGCGTAATGTCTTTGAGAGTATTTGTTTTGTTTGAATGTATCTCAAGTGAGGTTTTATGTTAATTTAGGGTTCCTTCTTTATCTATGCAGGCACTGGGGCATATATTCTTTTGGGTTTTATGGGTTGAATGCAATCTCAGGCAAACATCTGCGTAAAGGGGTTGTGAGAAAGAAGTCATTAGTCATTTTTGACAGGCCTGCCAACGTGATGTTTTGATACCGGCATCAAAGGGTCAAACATGGTCAAACCAACATGCAATTATTTATTGGCATGAAGTTGCGTTGATAAATATATATATATGCAGATGCACCTAAATCTTTACAAACATTAAGGGAACGTGACATTCTTCGTTGTTAAGAGTTGGAGAAACAGCACCCCACCATCAAAACAATTAATCTTGGACCGGGCTACTCCAATGCTCAATCTTAGTCAGACCGCTCCGTGGTCGATGGTGCTACGTAGATTAATTTTGGATACGTCGATGCGTTTGAGACCACAGATAACCTACGAAAGCAATTTTCTGTTGGTCACTTGCTGCCGTTGTTTTTCTTTCTGCTCAACAGCGGTGGTGGCCTCAGGTCAGTGGGTCGCTCTGTGGGTCTCTGCGGATCATCATGGCGAAAGGAATGATACGTCTGATTATAGTTCCAATGTTTTCATATGTTTTCATATATGCATGTTATAAGAATATATATATATAATACCTTTTCTATCCCTTTGGCAAATTATAGTCATTCCATTGTGTGCTACTTGTATGGACTGCTATTACATGGCCCATCTAGTTCGACGATTTGTGTACAAAATGGTGAGGGTCTATGTTGCAAATTGATACTTTCGATTTTTTTCTGATTTTTTTTCTGATACGTTCGATTCTTTTTCTGAGTCTTTTTATCAACGCAATTTCATGCCAATAAATAATCGCATGTTGGTTTGACCATGTTTGACCATTTGATGCTGACTCAGACCTACGAAAAATTAGGTCTGGGTAATGCTGCTTACACTCCACTGGATTAGCTGCACTAGCTATTCATCCACTGAGACACTCTCCCGGTGGCTGAGGGCAGCCACTCAGCCACTCAGCCACTCTGGCATTGTTCGCACGCTTCGTCAGCTGCCAGACTCACAATCGGGCATTTTTTCCATCGATATTGGCCCCTTCTTCAGTCCAAATATCGACACGCCCATTTCGGGTTGCCGTGAAACAAAGCTCACTGAGGCCTTACTTTCCCAGCGAGCTGGCTACACCAGTGTGGTCGACATGAAGGTGTGGAATGAAGAGAGGGACGGGATGAATATTGACGAATTAAACGAATCATCATGACTGATCTTTAACGTGCTGGAGGCAACTTCGGAGAATATCATATCATCATGTTAATAATACGCCACAATACGCCACATCCTAGGTTATTTATAACCGAAGGAAATTTAGAAGTCAAACTTCCGACAATATGGACAGATGAAAAGCAGAGCAGGGAAGAGGCAGAGAGAAGAGAAAGATTAGAAGAGAGAAGATCAGAGAAGAGAAAGAGTCAGCAGAAAGAAGATGCAGGTGCGCGAAAAGGTAGGAAAGTCGCGATTCACTGCGTTTTTCCAATGATTTGTGGCGCAGGAGGGTCGAAAAGTAGGCTCGCTAAAGCGGCGGGTGCGGAGCCAGCTGGCCAGATGAGAGATGAAAAGTTGCACGCCGTTGTGGCGCGAAGCACATTTCCAAGTCAAAATGTACAAAACACCAGAGGAGCGGACCACTTTTGGAAGTTGAGATGTCGAAAAAGTGCACGCCGTTGTGGCGCGAAGCACATTTCCAAGTCAAAATGCACAAAACACAGCATGCTCGGACCACTTTTGGAAGTTGAGATGTCGAAAAAGTGTACGCCGTTGTGGCGCGAAGCACATTTTCAAGTCAAAATGTACAAAACACACCATGCTCGGACCACTTTTGGAAGTTGAGATGTCGAAAAAGTGTACGCCGTTGTGGTGTGAAGCACATTTTCAAGTGAAAATGTACAAAACACCAGAGGAGCGGACCACTTTTGGAGGCTCAGATGTCGAAAAAGTGTACGCCGTTGTGGCGCGAAGCACGTTTTGAAGTCAAAATGTTAAAAACACCAGGGGTTCGGACCACTTTTGGAGGTTCAGATGTCGCTTCGCTTCGCTTCCCTTCACACGACTACACTACATTACACTACACTCCACAACACTACACTACACTACAACTACAACTACACAACTGCATTCCATTAGACTCCACTACACTCCATGACACTAAATTACAGTACACTACACTACATTGCGCTACATTACACTACATTCCATTACACTCCACTACACCACACTACATTACACTACACTACACTGAATGACCCTGCACCACAGATAGACAAGTAGACAGATAGATAGATAGATAGATAGACAGATAGACAGGTAGACAGCTAGACAGAAAGACAGATGAAAGAGAAAGAGAGAGATAGATAGAAAGAAAGAAAGAAAGATAAATAGATAGATAGATAGATAGGTAATTAGATGAAACAGAGGGAGAGAGAGAGAGAGACAGAGAGAGAGATCGATAGATAAATACATACATAGATAGGTAGGTAGGTCCACAGATAGACAGATAGACAGGCAGACAAATAGGAAAGAGAGACAGCTAGATAAATAGATAGATAGGATCCTTGTTAATAGATAGGTAGATAGGTAGATGGCGAGAAAGGCAGCTCTGTAGATAGATGGCGAAAGAGACACACAGAGAGAAAGAGAGAAAGGGAGACAGAAAGGCAGAAACACTCAATCACCTTTCAATCCATCAGTGGCTTCCCTCTGCCATCTTGATTCACAACAACCAATCTCTCCTATAGGTTTCCTATTTTTGAAACTTTCGCCACCGCCTTGTGCGGTACTACTGGTAGCTTATGAAGTCACATAAAGTCATTCCACCAAGAGAACGGACCCTCACCCCTCCCGCTCACAGAAGGACTCTGCTTCTGGAGTGCAAGAGTGAGGTTGTTGTCATCTGTCGTTGTGCTTCTACTGAAACAGGCTTCGTTGCAAAAACGAAGGAGACTGTTGTCTTCAGCTTCACTGTGCTGAAACAACGCCGCCATGTCAGCTGCTTTGCATTTCTGACGGAATTTACAGGCAATTCGGCAATTTCAAGTGCTTCCAAGTGCTTCAACTCGTGAAGAAACATGCGTGCACTATCTTGCACAAATTCTTAGAATTCTCATGTGACAGTGACTCATGCCTGTATTCTTTTTGTACGCATATCTCCGGCACGTGGAAGCTGCAAGTCTTGTTGAAACAGCGGGGAAGTGTAGTAAAGTACTATTTCAATCACGCAATTTGATGCAAATTGATGGCTATTTCGACAAAGGATACAGCCTCTCAGTCGTCATCGTCATCAGCGCCAATTGGCTTAGACTTGTCCAGCCTGAAGCCAGCACCAAATTAGTTGCGCTCCAAGGCATGCACATTCCAGAATTAATTAGATGAAACGGATTGATAGGCTTGATATCCACAAAAATAGATGATCAAAATTGATCATCAAACAAGGCCACAACTGGGAACAGGATGGAGCAGCAAAGGCAGGGACCGCAATTCAATTGGCAGCTTGAGACTTGAAAAGGGTCCACCATGGTTGACCGCTTGCAGTTGAGCAACCACCTGCTCATTGAAGACGGCACGAAATCACCATGCAGATCCATCTCCTGTAGCCAATGGGCCCTAAGCTGAATCATATCTTCCGCTGCCAACCTGCTGCTGATACCTCCATCATCCCCGCCTCACAGGCGAGGAAACACTGCAGAGTCGTGTCAACCGCAAGGCCAAAGACATTCCTTGTCACAGACGCTGCAACGGCGGGAGAAAAGCACACAACTCACACTGCTAAGATTAAAAACACAGCTGCAAAATGGAAATCATTTTACTCAGCACCGCCCAACAAAATCAGTCAGCAAAGTCTCATGAAAAGCTTCGCAACCTGAGCTACATGGGAATCGGGAATGACTAAGGACGATACACTCCTGTTGCGTGTAGGTATGTGTCGCGTTTTCTTGTTTCTCAATGATTGAAAGCACATTTACGATCCCCTATTGTTGTTTGATTTGCCCCATTAGTTTCCGTTGACAATCTCTCCGGTACCTCTGCTGCCTCTGCTGCCTCTGCTCACTAAAAGTCTCTTGCAAATGCATCTGGCGTCTTTTGTTTCTCTCGCCTGGCGGAATTCCATGGAATTCCACCATGCAAGCTCTGAAAACGCCGAAGGACCACATAGGCCGTGCACCCATAGATAACGAGAGAAACAGCTGGTGCAACTTCAGGATAGAGTCCGGTGAGAATCACGTACCCCAGGGCAACACTCACTGCGATAATGAAAAGGAATCCAATGACATTGATCATGGCCTGGATGGATCGAAGCTCCAATGGTTCTGAAGTCCGTCCAGAACCCCCTGGCATTAAAACATCTAAAACATCCAAAAATGTTTACACAGTAAAATCATAGGAATTAATTACGCAATGTCATTATGTCATCATATATTTCATTCTGTCCTACCTCCCCACCAAAGAACATGAAAGAAACTCATGTCTGCTTCAGCTCAGTGACGCCAAGGATTGCAACGGTACCGAAGCGGAAGGCATTTCTGAGAATCAGAAAGAAGGCTTTCTTGGCTGATGTGCAGAAGTTGGTACCCATTAACGCAATTTGGATGTAGGCGTTCCTTAGCTCTGTTCAAAATCTGGTGACTTCATTCGCAAGGACAGCGAACCTGTCACTCAAAGTGTCTGTAGGTGAAAAGGTACCGCGAAATCTGCCATTATCCCCAGCCCCGCTGCTGGCAGGTGTCTTGTTGAGGAATTTCACCTGGAAGCACAAGTGGCAAATGCCATCAAAACAGGGCTCTTCAAAGCATGGAGGCTCACAGCACTCCAAAATTCCAAAACAAAGTGTCTCAGCATCGAACGCACTTCTCGAAGCACCAAATCAAACAGCCACAGATCTTGAGGATGAGGACCAGCACTCTGTTCTTTGCTTGCTTGGCTTGCTTCCTTACATGACAGCAGGATCCAGAAACTGCATTCCGAAAGCATTGCCGGGAAACAAAACTACAATCCGGACAATGCACAAACTAGGCACTTGCAATCAAGGAGCTCATAGTATTTCAGGATCGCTCTGATCAGTTGGATTACTGCAATGATGAAGGAACCAAATGCCAAAGAGCCCAAGTGGTACCGGAAAACATTCCTGCAGCTTGCGCCAGTTTCTGGGATGGGAAAACCTCCGTGTTGCGGTTTTGCAGAAAGTCGCCCAAACTTTCAACCGTTCAACCCTCCGACTGCAAAAATGCATGCTGATCGAGGCCGGCACCAAGTCGATTGTGCGATGACCTCAGATCAGGCTAGGCTGCTTGCTGTACCTATGGGCGCTGACACTGCATTCTGCTTTGGATCACACAGCCAAGTTGCTCGTCGGCTTCCTTTGTCTGCATTGCTAGTGAAGAACCACACCCCAACCGCGCCAGCAATGAGGCACTGCCCAATGGCAATGTTCAGGGCCTGTGACAAGGAAAACGAAAGGAACCAGCTATCGAACCAGACTTCAGCAAAGAATTCCAAGACAGATTTTAGGCCGCCACATTATTCCAAAAGAAAACGAAGAGCGAAACCTTGGCAAAAACCATTGCACCGCAAACATCTAAAGCAAAAGCCGCACAATGTGTGGCACTATGTAACATATGTAACGTATGCAACACTAATACAGCTGGGCAACAAAAAATCGCCAGTCGAAGATGTAACGTGGAGGTGAGCACCTCCAGCATGCATAGCCCACGGTGGCATTGACCAATTCACCTGGGAGGGGTAATGTCATACCCTCCCCCCTTCCTCTGCTGCTGGCATTGTTTGGAGCTGTGCCGGTCAAGAGAAAGGTCCATAGATATATTGGATAAGATTTACATGCCAAGATTAGATACTGCAATCTATAGTTAGGTGATAGATTCTATATCATCACTACCTTTTTAAGATAGGGGGACGTACCCCAAATGCAAGCTACATTTTAAACGTATTAAGGGAGGGGGACGTAATAATTGTTAACTTTCATTTATTTTTCAAAGCACGTTCTAATTGCAAACTTTCATTTTAGTATGTCCCCCTTTTTCCGCAATGCCCTAAAAAAACCTAGGGCGACGTCCAAAATTTAAGCTTGCATTTCTGAAAAACATGCCAGAAGGTTTAAAAAATGTAAAACGCAAATAGCTGCAGAATTGCAGACGCAAATAGCTGCAGAATTACAGAAAAACAAAAGTGTAAAGTAAAAGTTTGTAGGACCCCGAATTGCTTGGTATTTCCACTACATTCTACACTTTTTCTACGCTTTTTGATCATTTCCACACGTAACATAGAGGTATAGGAGGTTTATGATTCCTTGCAAATTACTGGAAAATCCTTGAACTTCAATTCAAAAACCTGTAAAATGAGATGTTGAAGGTTTTCAAATTTACCTCCTACCCATGGAAAAATAGTAGAATGCAAATAAAGATCTCAAATGGACCTCAAAAGGACCTCAAATGAACCTTTATGGGGTCCCCATGGTAAACCCCCTTTATGTACCTCCATGATCGAACTTAAACACCCTTCTGCCACGATTCCTATCTAGCCCCCCTTATGACCCTCCAACCATAATATAATCCGGGCGCCAGCCACGGAGCCCGGAGGCCCTCGGTGGTAACCGAAGGTTATAGACGCTCGCCGGCCCTGCCGCCGACCCACCCCTGAACCACCCCCGACGGACTCCGTGTCAACTGAAGTCCCTGTAATTTACGGTGTTTTGTGCGCGCGATGTTCAAAAACATCGTTTTTTACAGTGTTTCGGGCCCTTCGGTGGCAAGGGATTCCATCTTGGCGATGTTACAAAACCTCGGTTTTTACGTGGTTTTGGGCTCTAGGAGGGGGCCCGGGGCGGAAAAATTGGCATCTTAAGATCGTTTCAACATAGATGGCCCAAACATGGCACCAACATAGGTTGCAAGATGGCTCAACATGGGCCAACATAGGCCCAAGATAGGCTAACATAGGACCAACATAGGGCCAACATGGTGCCAAGCTTGCTTGGCCGGCGCAGGGCTGTCAGGCGTAAGCCTTTAAATAACAATCTAGACATCATGTGTCATGTTGATTCTGAAAGGAATTATGGAACCTGAGGTGCAGGATGGTTACAGGATTCTATCTTATCGTTACCCTCTATTTTGAACACTTTCTGCCAGGAATTGTGGACCTCAGGTGCAGGATGGTTGCATGATTCTATCTTATCTTTACCTTCTTTTTTGAGCACTTTCTGCAAGGAATTAAGATCATCAGGTGGTCTCTATCTCATCTTTACCTTCTTTTTAAGCACTTTCTGCAAGGAATTAAGGACCTCAGGTGTAGGATGGTTACATTTTTCTATCTTAGCTTTATCTTCTTTTTCGAACACTTTCTGCAAGGAACTATGGACCTTATGATACCTTATGTGTAGGATTGTGTTTTTTTTTCTATCTTATCGTTACCTTCTTTTTTAAGCACTTTCTGCAAGGAATTAAGGACCTCAGGTGTAGGATGGTTACATTTTTCTATCTTAGCTTTACCTTCTTTTTCGAACACTTTCTGCAAGGAACTATGGACTATGGACCTTATGATACCTTATGTGTAGGATTGTGTTTTTTTTCTATCTTATCTTTACCTTCTTTTTTAAGCACTTTCTGCAAGGAATTAAGGACCTCAGGTGTAGAATGGTTGCATTTTTCTATCTTAGTTTTACCTTCTTTTTCGAGCACTTTCTGCAAGGAACTATGGACCTCAGACATAGGTTGATTACATCCCCACAAAGACACCTCACAAAAAGTTTACAAACTGCTTGCGGACATTTAACAATTTTTATCTCTCCCCCCCTATCCGTAGAGTACGGGGGGGGGAATCGGGGGGGGGGGAATGGGGGGAGGTAGGGGGTGCAGTATCTATTGCAGACTTTCGACCCCCCCCTCAAAATGTAAGTCCGTGTGTGTGCTTGTTTTTGCTAGCGCCGCCCACCATAAAGACGCAGGGACTTTTAACGTTTTTTTAACGTCCGATGTTTCTTGTGGGTATGGGTCTGGGTGGGGTGATGTTAACGTTCTTGTTAACTTGCACGCTTTCTGCACACTACGTCGATCACGTTGCTTGGGTTGGGTATGGGGATGGGTGGGGTGATGTTATTGTTCGTGTTAAGCTGCACGCTTTCTGCACACTACGTCGATCACATTGCTTGGGTTTGTTATGGGGATGGGTGGGGTGATGTTAACGGTCGTGTTAACTTGCACGCTTTCTGCACACTATATACGTTGATCACGTTGCTTGGGTTGGGTATGGGGATGGGTGGGGTGATGTTAACGTTCGTGTTAACCTGCACGCTTTCTGCACACTACGTCACTACGTCGTTCACGTTGCTTGGGTTGGGTATGGGGGTGACGTTAACGTTCGTGTAAAGTCTTTGGCAGTGGACTTACAGCCGGCAATACAGATACAACAATGGCAAAGACCTTTGGACAGCTGTGCCACATGTCTTGGAGCACATCCGAGAAGGATGAGTTAAAAAGAGCCCGCGTCTTTACGGGCGGCGTTACCTTGTTTTTGGATGTTTTTGGACCTAGGGGGGGTCTAACGGTCTAACATGAAAATAGCCGCCCCCCTCGGGTTTTTCCCCGAGGTGGCCAAAACTGTAGCTTACATTTTGTGTACGTCCCCCTTGCTTACACCCCACGAAAAGGATGGTGATTCTATATATTCTATATCTGTATAGATATTCAATGATATTCATGGCAATTTCTCCATTTGCCGAGGAGCAAGTCTCGGACTTGTAAACGCTCCCTGTGGGCCACTTGTCCGTGCATTTTCCTGGCGTTGTGGCCTTGGATTGAACAAAGAAACGCCAGGGACAAGCAGCAAGGATCAGCGTGGGCCGCAACGGTCATGCACTTGTGACATGCTCGCAGAGATGAAGCTCAAGTTGCTGTTCCATAGGCTTCCTCATAGGTAAGATAAGCTTCCTGGGTACAAAAGGCACGCAAATTGCGAAAAAGGATCAAGAAGGCATGTTGAAGAGAATGCAAGAAATGGGCACAACTTTCTTCACAAAATCAACAGCAAAAATTGCGAATAGCTTGTGATTTCCTGCGCCAACATTACATCCCTCCAGCCTTTGAAGTGTAGCCATCAGGAACTTGAGAGACCAGAAAGCTCACAGAGAGTGCCCAGAGCAGGATCCACAGGATGCCAATACCCGCTTGGATGGCGGGCACAATTAGAATCCTTGCCATTTGAAGTTTAAACACAATGAAGTGACTGTGGATGGTCAGTTGAAATGATCTAGTGCAATCAAGCTTGCCTGGGGGTGTCTTTCACAAATATTGCCGCCACCTGGTTGACTGCAATGGCGAGCCGAATCCTGCAAAGAATATATTGCACCCAATCTCACCAACCAACAGCTTGCGATGAGTCGTGAGACATCACGAGACAAAGTTTGCGAAGATGTCCTGTCGAGGAGACAGCACACCAGTAGACAATAGATAGCGGCCAAAACCCAAAGAACATAGGCGCAGATTTCCAGCAGAGTTCTGACATCGTTGTTGGTGATGGCATATCCATCGGTGCACTCCTCGGTGTGTTTGGTGGGTTGAAGAAGCTGGAACTTCAGTTTTTTTTATGTTTTTTTGCAAGGCTGTCAGTCTACAAGAGGAATCTGAATCTGAAAGCCTTCCGCATCCAAATGCACTGAGCAGCTGGAGCAATCACACCCACAGGTGTGCAGGTTTGCCACTTAACGCTGGTATCGGTCGTAAAGCACCATATTGTTGCAGCTTTGTTGATGTCGTTGGTGTTGTACGGGTTGCGGCAGAAATTGTTGTCAACCAAACCTGGGGAAAAAAGCTCATCAAAATGCATGAGAGCTGCATCGAATCTGAGTTCGTTTTGCCAGAGTGTCAGGGCATTTCACATCATTTCGTGGGGATTCGTGGGGCATGATTTGGCGTGACTCTTGGAAATTCTGTCGAGCTGCCTGAGCTTGGATATGTCGTACTAGTGTAGGCCGCAGCTGCACCTCCAGTGCTCATGCGCTGGATAATACAAAACAAATTCAAGAGATGCAACATGCAGGAACACCTTGCTGCAAGTAGTGTCAAAGCCAGATTGGTGACCCTATGTGACCCTCAACATAAATCAACTAACACTAACACCTTGGATTCGTTTGGAGCCTTTTGATTCTTTGAGGGTTGATCAGGTTGATCCCAGCTTCATACCTAGGCCGCCTAGGCCCTGAGGATGAGGCCCTGACCTTGGCCCCACACTTCGCACGAATATCCCATCTTTGTTCGGCTCTGTACACCCCGGTAGTCTGCTCCGTCCTCGGTTTGTGGGGAGCCAACAACTTGACAACACCATGGGCAACAACATGTAACAATGGAATACAATGGACATCAAAGAGTCTAAGTATGTCTAAGTATGTATTTCATCAGTTTAACAGATAGTTTCATCATGTCATCATGGCATGTCTCAGAATCAGGAGCCTCCGAATCACATTTGGGATGCTCCATTTTAGCTTCTTGCTTGCTGCCATCCTCAAACTTGCCACCTAGGCACTCCTGTGAATGCTTCACTGGTTGATTGACCAGACACGGCGTTGGAAGCAGCAGTGGTGGCTGTAACCTGGAGCAAATGCCACACTTTTGTCCTCAAGGACTTTTTGAGCTTCTTGCTGCCAAGAGGCTGCGACTGCTACGGCCACCTGTTGGCCAGTTTCAAAGAGCCCAGCACCTACAAACGGATGTCATCGGATTTCCATTGAAGGCCTCTAACAAAGTATCGCAACATATTGCAACAAACATGTCTTGCCTGCACATTGCTTGCTGCGGACCCAGCACAGGCCACCACCAACGCACAGCTTGAGAAGCACCAAAAAGACTGCAAACCTTGGCTTGTGCAGTTGAGATACAGTCAAAAATTTCAATACGTCACTGCCAAGCAGCCAAACACAGGGTCGAATCAAAAAGCGCAGCAAGACCATGAAGATGAAGCCAATCAGAAAGCTTAAGAAAGCCACCTGCGGAATTCCACCACCCAGGACTAAAACAGTAATCGAAGCAACAAAGCACTGATTCCAATGTGTCTCAATCCGACTCCTGGAAAGAGCCAAAATCAGCTTGTCGCATCTGAGCGCTATGTCATAGCTATATTCATACTATGTCGGCAAAGGAACAAGCACAAATGCTGGGAGCGACTTCTCGAAGTCCCCCATCCACTTTCCAAATGTCTCCTGACAAAACCATGGCGTGCTTTATTGCGTGCCATCTATTTTTTTTTTGTGTGTGTGTGTCCGCACGCCTGCCGGGGGTGCTGTTTTTTTGATAGCTTGCTTGGGATTTAGTAATCTATGGATCTGGATATCCCCTGCGGTTGGAATATATTGGAATGGCAGGTGTCTGGTACATCCCCAGTGGCTCCGTGGAACTGTCTTGGAAAGACGCCAGGCCAGAGCTTTCAAACACTGCGGTGGCAGCAGAACCCATCGCATCCACCACGGCTGCGCCTTGCGGAACATGACCGTTGTGTCAGAATGATCATAGCTACACCGCTTGGCCAAGCCAAACCTACATACCATTACATACCCTTGGTATCCGTGGTGTCGTCTGGTTTGGTATGGTTTATTAAACTTTGCTCAAAGACTCTCATATCCAACTTCAGAGCCACTGCTACCTTGCATCAGTGGTGGTGGTGCTGCTGCTGGTTTGGTCGTTGTAGACCTTGTGTCCTTGTGGTCTCCATTCTTCTCGTGGTTTCGTGGTTTCTCTTGTTGTTGCTGTTCTTATCTTTAGCGGCCTTAGTGACTGTGTGATCTGTGTTCTCATTCTTCTGGTTTTCTTGCTGTTGCGAGTACTCCTGTTTCTAGCTTGTGTTGTGATCGCAGTTGTGGTTGCTGTGGTTGCTGTGGTTGCTGTGGTTGATGTATGCTGATGTATGA